CTAAGCGTGTACAAAACAACCCAGCTAAAACCAACCTCACAACGAAACGTGCCGTTATAAAATAACAGACTTTGGTAAAAGAAAGCATCATGATGCAAACGAAATTGGTGATCTGCATTAATTCAAATACAGCTAGACTGCCCACTAAAATGAGCAGAACAGGTAAATCTGAAGACCAAATAATAGACAGACAGTTGGATGGATGTAAAGGCAAACAGAGTGGTTACGGTAGTTACTGAAATGCCAATAAATTCACACACTTTCTGCATTAAATATCTTAGTGCATTACAGCAGCAATAGCAAATAATATTGAAAACTCTGCCCCTTGCCTTCTCTAATATTTGCCATAAAGGTCTACAAACACACTGCTGCAGAATGTTTATAAAACAAAGGAAAACATTTCTAAACAGGACCATTTTCTTGTAGAAAATATTAAAAATTATAGTCGGTCAAAGTAAACAATAGAGGATTACTGTCATTCACATGAAGCCAAGCCAAGCAGGGGCAACCTCTCCATTTTTTTTTTAAGAGGTCAGAAGAGTTTAAAAGACCATATTAAACCCAAATCTAACGCACACTGAACTCTCTCCTACGCTATGCAACGGGAGTATTCTTTCCTCATAAATCTGCATGCTAATCCAGATCCTTTACTAAAGATGTGTATGTCATATCTGTGGGGTATATCACGTAACTTCTTGGCAAAGGTAATAGCATTTTTTCACTAACTGTTAAAATTCCTTGTGTAAGTTTTAACAGCCCTTTCAAGCAAACAAAGCAGCATCGGGAATCACAGATCCATCGCTGCAAAGTGCGCTGAGCTTCATCAGTGAACTCATTTCCAACAACCCTGGCGAGAGTAAAAACCCGTTCCAAATCACATATTGCTTTCAGTGATATTTAAGTGTTTGAAATACCTCACAAGACGTCTGACAAACTCAGTAAACAAACCTAGTCCTTTGGTAAAGCCACTAAAAGAATTTAGCAGTATTTAAAATAAAAGCACGCAGCAGAACATACTAGGAAGAAAAAGAAAACAAAGGCTCCTAGCCGCATCTGGACCAAATTTGACCTCTGTTAATGTATTTGGTAGTAATTTACAAACATTACATACGGCTTCGTCAAGAGTTTTGGCCTGCTGGCTCATTCAAATGACAGATTCAGTGTTACGATGAAATATTAACAAAAACTCAAAGATGAAAACTAACCGTGCTGCACTGCACGTGCCCATCAGCTCCGACAGACGAGCCCAACGGCCACCGAGAAACTGAATATATTCTCATTTTTTCCAATCAACACCTGCATGGTTCTAGGTTACGTATGGATGTCTTTACCTGACATCTGCAGTATGGGACCTTCAAAATTTCAATTAAAAACTAAAAACAAAAGCCCACCAGAACTTAATCACTGGGTTTCCAGAGAATACTAATCAACATTTCACTGAAGGGGAAATTGTTCAGGTTCAGTCAAACCAGGCAAAGCAAAACCCCATTAAACTGGCCCCAGGTTTTTAAGTGAATTTCACCTGGTTGTTCTTTGTTAGCTAGAGCTGTGCTGTTGGAAGTCAACGCAATCTCTCTAGACTCAGTATTATTATATCTCACTCCCAGCTCTAGCTGCATGGCAGAAGAAAACATGAAATTCTAGAAAGCATTTTGGGGGAAAAAAAACTATCTGCCACTTCGCATAAAACGTGTTAGTACAAGAAACAATGTATCAGAGAAAAGTCCTTATGGAAAATTGCATTTCAGCGAACAGAGATGTCCAGCTAGCATGAATAACGTTAAATTCAGAAACAAAATGTGGACACATGCACAGAACTCGCTCAAGGCTATCGCTAAATGATGTAGGTGTGTACATGTTACATGGGCACCTATGGCATAGGTGTCCGAAATAACGTTATCTGCTCCCATCTACCTTTAAAACTCACAGGTCACACAGACTACTAGATATTAGCAAATCATTTTAATGCCATTACGAGAAAAAAAAGAGATGAGCTATAAGGAATCTGACCAGCCATTAAAACAACTCAAACAAGTTGTTTTCCCCCAGTAATCCGGGCATTAACAGAGTATCTGAACAGTTCCCGACTCTGCTGCGTTTCTGGGAGCCTGTCTGTTCCAAAGCTGCCCCTCCACGGCCGGCAGCGAAGCTGGAGCCTCCGCTCCTGGGCCCGCTCGCTCTGTGCCGCGGGAGGAGAGGAGCGGGAAGGCGGACGCCGAACCCAGCGCTCTGCCGAGGGGGAGCGCGCCCACCGACACCCACCGCCTGTTCCTCCGCCCTGCCCGGAGCCCGCAGAGCAGCCAGTGGAGATCGCGGCTGTGCCACAATAGGAATAAATCACCCAACGCCTTCCCTCCCATCACGGCAGGTGTAATTAAGAAGCCCACCAACAATGCTGGTGTGTTGGTGAGGGAACTTGGGTCTAACAACTAATCTCACTCTTAATAATATTCCACCTTACTACGAAATGGTGAACACTCCCCCAGCGCAGTATAAAGCACATTTAGGAACTGCTTGAAATTTGGAGGAGTGCTGTCTGAAGCGTGCGCATTCACCCTGCACATGTACACCGGGGAACTGCTGGAACAAATACCATGGATGCAAATCCCAGTCGACTGGAAAGGTTTAAAATCTCCATCTCTGGAAAAATAAAGCCTTTTCTTAAACACAGTTTCAAACACTTGGGGGTAATGGCAATGTGAAGTTAAATTATTTCTGCTAACTGAGGAGAACAGCCTGTTTTGTCTCACCTATTGTATCATTATCACTCCCAACAACAGTTAAAGTAAATTCTCCGCTGGTCTATATGAATTTCCTCATCCGAAGAACCAGCCCATTCAAATCCTTCAAGTGACTAAAGTGTGAAACAAAACGAGTGCCTCTATGCATTGTTGTAAAACTGGTTTGCTATTTTATGTTAAGCCTCTGAAATACTAAAACATGTCCTTATATAGGAACACCGATTAAATGGTTTTCCTTCCAAGTGATGAACTGTTTTAACAGCAACATTGTGGTTATTGCGACCAGAAAGCAATTACTTATTTCACTAGATGTTACTAAGAACAGCGGTGATCAAAGTGAACGTAGGAGTGCTGTTAAAGACGTTAAAGAAAGCATCGCTCCGTATGACACATATACACAAAAATATACATAATTTTAAGCCAAATGACACTTTTAATAAATGTTCTGTTCAGGATTAAATCACTGCTCAGGATTTTTTTTTAATCCCTGAAATTAAGATCTATGGAATAAGTTACTCTTTTAAAATCTATTTCTAAATACAGCATGGTCTGTAGATCTGCGTACCTGTATGCGTGCGTGTGTGTGAGAGTGCACACATAACGGGGGGGGGGGGGGGGGGGGGGGGGTGGGTGTGTGAGAGCACGGGAGAGCTCCTAAAATTCGGGGGGGGGGGGGGGGGTGCGTGTGTGTGTGTGTTGTGAGAGAACGTGTATATATATATGTGTGTTCGAGTCTGCCAAGGTAGAAGTGACAGGAACTGTGATTTGTGCTAACTAGCTATTGATCCAGTCAGATCTAGATGTTGTGTACAAGAAACAATAAAAGAGAAGGGGCCAGGAAGGATGCTGTGTGCAACTCCATTTAAAAATGGAAAAGAAGGGCCCCAAACAAACCAATTTATGTCCTTGCCTGGGTGAAGCATGGAGAATGCTGATGGGCTTCCTAGAGTCTGCTGTGCATGCTAAACACTCCCGCTTGAAATGAGAGTCTCCTGCGCTGGGCATTAAACATGAACAAAGAGACAAACCGTGGGGGCTAGGATTCACGCTTCAGAAAGCCAAAGCTGGAAAGCCAACCAGAACTGGAGCTAGGAAATTGCCCAGTTTTCAAACCAGCTCCCTTCTGATTTTCCCAACACCTTTCTGAGCGAAATTACTAAATGCAGAGGACTGTAAAAAGTCAGTCTGTACAACCAGACGTAATGAAAACAATTTCGAACTACACTAGCAGCACCAAAACATCAACTTTCCTAGGCATGCATAATGAGTTTATATTGCGTGAATTACGCACGTGTACTTATAGCACATCAAAAAATTGCCTGCGTGCATTCATACAGCAGGTACATGCACGTGCATCTATTGTAATATTCACACACACGGGCAGGCGGCTTGGAAAATATGGCTTTGATAAGATAAAATAGAAACCAATTGAATTTATAATCATCTTTATCTTAAACAGCTTTTATAATAGAGGGCTTTCCATTAAAATATTTTTTTCCTGAGCTTGGGGAATTATGATGACCCCTGGACACGAGGAAGGATCAAAAATGACAACTAATGTCAAAATTAAACATCTGTCAACTAAGCAAGTTTTATACCAGCAGACCCGGAGCCTTATTTCAAATTGCCTTTCTGTTAAAGAAAAAAAAACGCTAAGAGCCTTTCAGTTCGGTATCGCACTGTTAGTAGGCTCTTAATGCAAGCAGGGAAATACCTGGAATCAGAGGGACGGCACCACTAACAAATTCGTGTGTTCACGGTTTAGGAAGATCCTGTAACAGTTTGGGGGAAATGGCTGGAAGGCTTGGCCGGCACAGGGCTCGGCAGGGACCCCCTCCTCAGCACCCTATGCCTGCAGCCCCCCTCCGCGGCACCCCAGCCCTGGAGCACAGCTAGGGCTCTGACGGGAGGCCCCTGCCAGCCTGGGCTGCCGCAGCCCTCAGCGGCTGCTCCCCAGGAGGCACAATAGGGATGGGGCTGGCAGCAGAGACCGCTGCGGGGCCGACCGTCACCCGGGGATGGCTGGGCAGCAGATGCTTCGTCCCTGCTGCTGGCCGCCCCAGCAGAGCCACCTGGCATCCCGCAGCCCCAGCCCAGTGCAGGAAGGCACCCAGCACCCACCGCGGTCCCCACCAGGGGCGGAGCAGATCTGGGGCCGGCGTGCGCCTGGCGTCCCAGGGCCGGAGGTCCGCCACCTCCCCTTCTCTGAGCAGCCCACCGTCCCCCTGTGGGCCGGTGCCCGCGCGGGACAACTGATACCTTCTTTGCTGGGGTTCGTGGGCTTGGGCTTCTCCCAGGGCGCCATGGGCTTGTCCTCCTCCTGCCCCTCCATCAGGGCCTTCTCGCCGGGCAGGTACCAGGTGGAGTTGTGCTCCGCCATCAGGGAGTCCAGGTCGATGGTGCTCATGGCACCCTTGACGCCCTCTGAGCAGCAGCTGCCCAGGTCGCTGTCCCCGTTCTGCCCCGCACACTCCCCCTTCTTGGTCTTCAGCCCCAAGGGCTGGTCTTCCGAGATGCTAAACTGCTGCCGCTGGAGCTGGATCTGCGCCTGCAGGATCTCCAGGGGGTGGATCTCGTCCTGGGCCGAGGTGCTCGTGGGGGTCCGCACCTGCTCCATGCCCGGCGTGCCGGGGTGGGCGCCCGCTGTGGTGCTGAGCCCATAGCTGTCGGGGGTCGAGGTAGACGTACTGAGGAGGCCGAGGGCCAGGGGCTTCTGTCCATTGAGAAGTGCGTGCTCCCCGCGGGGCAGCTTGGGCGAGCCGCCCAGCAGTGGGCTGCGGGTGGGCTTGGAGGCGGCGTTGTCAGAGCTGGAGGACACCTCGTCCTCATTGCCGTAGCTGGTGCTGACCTCATCAGGAAAGTCCACATGCGGTGAGCTGCCGTCCGACTTGGTCACGCTCTGGATGCCGCTGTCCAGGGAGGACATCAGGTCAGGCTGCTCCCCCAGCAGCAGCTCACCACCCTTGCCCCAGGAGGGCGAGGTCAGGGGCTTGTCATGGGGGGTACTCCCACCGCGCTCCGTGCCCGCAGTCCCCGGCGGGCCCCCCGCCGCCGCCGGCACCGCCGGCTGCCCCGGGCCGACACCACCCCCCCCGCCCCCCGGG